CCCCCGCACTGACCGAAGGAGACATAGAAAGGGTGCGGGACGATCATCAATAAATTGCAGCGTATCCCAAAGAAATCGCTACAGCTCCAGTCTGGCATGAGTGCTTATGAAAGTCTTAAAGTAGCAAGCAGCAAAAGCGGCGCTGATCTGATCAATCGGTATGAATCAAAGAAGGCATATGACAAGTAGACTAATGGAAAATAAGCCAAGTAAACATAATATGGTACGATCACTTAAAAGCCTCACGAATTTATGCGGGCACGGCAAATTCAGAATAAGCAAAATGCAGAAATTGTCAGTTACGTCTACAACAAAAAGCATATCAATGAAATAATTGCTGTTCAGAGCACAAGCGTAAGAGATATAAATGGCAAAAAAAATACTTAGATGAAGTGCAGGTGGTCGAAGTGATCCTTTTGATGGCCCTCGATGCATTAACGGCGTCCTCGGGAACTCAGCAACTGGTCCGCCAAAAACCTCATCCCAACACATATGATCCAAACCCAGTTTCTCAACTAATTCCTTCTGAAAAACACATTTCCTATTAAAAAGCGACGATTCTGTATCAAAAAACAACAGAACTCAAAATCAGCAATTAATTTGTACTGATTCTTATAAACAATTTACACATTTGTACCGCTTTAAACCCAATAATTCTCACCGACTGTAACCCTAAACAGTTTTTTCTAATATATCGATTTCAACTTCAATACAGCTTCAGAACTCACCTTAACAGTAAGTCGCTCGTGATCCGCCGCGCATGAATTTTTCAGGAACACTCTGATAACATTCCGAGCCCACAGCGATTTACTACGGCTGAAAAGAAAATTATCGATAATCAGATCATGCTAGACGTCCACTGATTGCAATAACCTCTTTGTAAATTTAGCATTCATTCAGCCAGACCTCAACTAAATTGAATATGCGAGAGGGAACCACCTCAGAAATCACTCGATACTTTTCTCTTCCGAAAACTGCTAAAGAAGCGCGCTAACGGCGACTTTCTGACATCCCAACCATATTATTATCACCTAATCATTGGATGTACATTATCGATGACATTCACAGGTATTATTTTTTTTAAATAAGCGGAATCAGATCAGCAACTTAAGGTTTACTATACAAACAGTTACTGTACCGAATGCACTGAATCAGAAATTTGCATACTTAATGCCGAGATATCTAAAACTTTAAATTTTTTGATTAATGCTTCATCCGTTTGTTGAGAGTTGTGAGAACCCAGCAGCCTAACTAGGCAAGACTTACAAGCAACAACCACTCAAGAATCGCTCTTTTGAGAGTGACTTAAAAGCAGGTTAAAAGTGTTCCCCTGGCATGCTTCATTACGAAATCACCACCGAAACAAGTTGAAGGATCGATTTCCCGAACCGAATACTTTCTAGCTGAGGGTAGCACTATTCCCCAGTAAGCCCGTATTTAACGAAAAAGCACTGATGAAAAGCGAACATATTTATAAACATCTATTGGAAAAGTAAAAAAAAAAGATTACAGAAGTTGCTGATGACTGACTCGTTCTCGAATTTCACCCGTCTCAACATTGTTTTTGTCCAGCAATGAAATATCGTAAGTGTAACGCTCCGCTGATGGTATTAATAGCTCGCCTCTTTTAAGGCTAAAATGATGAAAATTTTAGATAATTTTTGGACAAACTTTTATAAAAACAAGTTTCTAAATGGTAGCACAAGAACGATTATGCATTTTTTTGCGATAAGATACCGTGACAAAATACAGCATTCGCCGAATGCTCATATGCAGTATTCAGTCAAATACAAATAAGCAGCAAAATTAAAATTCTGAAGAATACGACAAGTGGACAAGCGGTAATTATGCATTAAAAAAAAATATTAAAGTAAGTTCTTTTCAAAAATCTAAAAAACATGTTTGGGTTTCAGGAAAACCGCATGAAAAACTGCTTTTTTGTACTTTTGTCAGAAATTTCTTTTTTTGTATTTCTGCTGGATTGCCAGTTTTCCGCAGTAAAAAAAACTCACTTTAATCTTGACAAACCGGACTCAAAATTGCGCCTTCTTTTTAATTTTCACTTTCATTTGTTTAGCAGGGAATCTTTCTTGGCTTAAATGCACAAATTAAGTGCTTCAAGTATGGAGTTTTTTTTCTTGGAAATTCAACACTTCCAGATAGATTTTAATGCCTTTGTAATTAAAGGTTACGAGGTTCTAACCAAACTTTTCTGCTTCTTGGCTAACTTTTGCACCTTTTTGGCTAAAAAGAACACCTCGTTTCTCAATTCCTACAGCAACGAGTATATTTCTTAGCATCTCAACCAAAAGCAATGGCCGAGTTCAGAGGAAATCTACTGGGAAAGTTAAAAGATCCTTAAATAACGTGCAACTTCTAAACCACCGAATCGTTAGTTTTCGACTTCAACCATAATTAAAGTCTCTCAAAAAAAAGCGTACAAGATAGCAGGCTTCTTGGCAGCATCAGTGCACTGGCTGGCACTAGCCTCGG